AACGGAACGCTATCGTACCAGAACATCTCCTCCAATGCGGAAGTTCTTGGGAGTAGCAGCAAAGATGGGGTTCATAGATTTAGCAGAGTCCTTAGCCTTAGTCTGGATATTAGAGATAGAAGCGAGCAAAATACCGAAGATATAGCTTGAATCGTCAATGAAATAGCTGGGAGAATTAGAGATCAACTATTCATCAACATAATATATGGAATCAACAATAAAACTGAGGTCATAACATTCTCTACCAGATTTTTAGAGTTTCAGTAGGTTAGTAGCATTCACAAGTATAATCGAAATGACATCATGTGACGTACATATTCTTACAGAACATTCCATAGATTTACAGCAAGAGGGAATACAAGAGAATTCCAGGAATCTGCTAAGCACTTTTCATGTGATTTAAAAGAAGAACAGCGACTGCAACTTGAAATTCTCGAATAATTGTATCTCAAAATGGAATCGCTCAATATAGATGTGTTCTACAACTATGGAAATCTTCCTTATCCATTTTTTCTAATTTCGGCAATCATGCTCTTTCTTTTGATGTATTCATAATATAGCAAACCAATCGATCAAATAAGGATAGTATGATATTCGAAATTATGAATTGAAACAAACACACCAATATTCCCAAAATAAATCTGTTCTTGGTTTCTTATTGTAATCTACATCCCATTCAAGTTTGGGTGCTTCATAAGGATAAACGGCTTTCTTCATTTCTGCACTTGATGTTATAACCTTGACTCCTTCGGCTGTGGTATTGCATGTACCGCTTAAAAACCATGCTCTAGGTTTATTTATTAGTTCTCTATCTTTTCCATTCATTATTTCACATTGATTTGGACTTCCATGAATCCATCGTAAAGGACCTGTCACAATTACTGAACTCCTGTAACAACGAGCAGGACCTGAAAATACTCCCTTTTCCGTAATTCCATGGGAAGCATAAAAATAGTTACTACTCAACCATCTAAATGAAAACAATTTGTTTCGGTATTCCTTCATGGTTGTATGCATCGGACTTTGATCATCAAAAATGTGTTTTCGTGCTTGGAGTTTATAGGTTCTTATCCAAAATTCATAACTTCCTTTTCCCCATTTTGATAATACGGCTCCTCCAGAAGGATAAGGTCCACGGTTCACTCTACATGAAAACGATATATCGATCTTGGATTTTTTAAATAGATCAAAGATATCTGTATAGGACTTATTATCACAAGGATAAACATGAGTATCCGTGATAAAAGAATAATTGAATGGAAGATAAGCATTGTACAACACACGAGTGAGCCATTGCTTTTTACTGGTTTGCACCACATCTTCATTATGAACTGGGACAATCACATCAATTAGCTTTGCAGTCGATGCAACAATGTCACAGTTAGTAACTACAGCAATTTTGGCATTAGGATCTTTTGCCTTAACAGCTACACTGTTCCTTTCCACCTCCTTTAGATATCTTGGATTTTCACCACATCTGTTTTGAGTATACAAGTAATAAACAATCCCTCGTTCCATAATTGGTGGTCGCGGATTAGGAAACGATTTGTGAACAAATAGAGATTGGATATGTCTATAATCATCAAATATAAATTTACAAATACAATTGAGGATAACACTGAGTAGAATGGGCATATTCTGGATAGACTAACGTAGAATTGCAAACATTGCTTTGAATTTTAATTGCCTTCTTTGTAGTTATATTAGCTGTTATTCCATTTGGTTTTATCACAGATTTTATAGATTCTTTAGTCGATAGTTTCTTTCTTTCATTTTCTTTCAGCGAGAGATTATATTTGAAAGAATGATACTGACATAATATAGAAAATAGTATAGAAATAACTATTAAAATACGATACATTATAAGGATTAATATGTGCAAACTAAAATATTCTTCATATGAATCACTACTTGATCTGCCTCAAATATTCTTAAGTCAATCAAAATTAAGTATGCTCTTTTGGTTCAGAGAAAAACGGTATATGGAATATCGTTTTGTGTAAGATGGTGATTTCGACTATAAAAATATCGTTTCCACAAAAGGGATGGTGGATAAATAACATCATCCATATTGAAATGATAGTAACAATTCCTACATATAGATAATATTACCATATAAACAATACATGGATAACAGAGTAATAGGAGTCATTAGAACTATCGAAATAATATTATCCATCAAATACAATGCATTCAACTAGTATCAGATAATATGAGCTGTTGACATGAAGAATATAGTAAAACCTCCATATTCGTTAGTCAACAATGTGAATATTTCCGATTGTATCGCATATATAATGTAATTTAACATGATTCTGATGATTAGGATCTTTTATATGAAAAGAACTCTGTGAAAAACGATTTCTGTCATTTGTAAACACTTTTGTGTATATAAGGTAATGATAAAGAATTATCAATCAAATAGTACAAAATATCAATATTAATATAGTCCCTAATGCTATATGTTTCAAACACTTAAGATTGCAAAAATAATCTTATAGGACAAGACTTTTAGTAATACTAACATTACCGATTATATTATGTAACTGTGTACAAATCAGTGGACCTAATACGTAAACTAATAACCCTCACTTTAATATAATGGTTCGCGATTTCATTATCACATTCAGAGCCATATTCCAGTGATCGTTAAGCGACGAAAAGACATGGTGCATAACTCTTCATTTTTCTTGTTGACTTAACTCCATACTAATAACAAGAATGGTCAAAATAATATTTAATAACTATTAGTATTTGCAAATAATGTATAGAAAGAAAAGATATTATGATCAAAATGCTGGTATATAAAAGAAATAGTATAATATACTTTATTATTATTATTCCCCAGTTTTATCACATTACTTGACTTTAGAATTAAGCTAACTACTGACTGCCTATTCTTGACGTACTTTTCAACTACAAAAACACCTTAATAAATTGTAATTTGATCATATAATGCTTATCTATTTAACATACGATATCATATTTTTCAAATAATACATATTTAAAACCTTTTCGTGATTGCATAGATATTTCTATTAGTCTTTTAATATTAGTTTTGTAGGAATGATATTTGTCTTTTGTTTTATTTACGTAATTCTTTATGTAGCATATATAGTTTTTTGCAAGCTACTTGTAGTTATGAAATATTATACACCCATATAATATGATAGAATTACTACTATATTATGAAAATACACTCTGATAAAATTGCAAATTATGCCTTGTAAAGAATGTCACATCTTTCAGGATCATCTCGATGTCATTATAGATCGTATGTTTAGATACATGGAATAAAACTTTACAGTGAGAAAGCTAGAAAATTACTTATATAAGATAATGAATGAATGCTGCACATTGAGTTTAGATAGATAAAGAGGCAATATTTTAAGTATTTAGTCTAACTTTGTTATACTATTAATTACACATGATTGAGGTAAACATTATATCGATGAGTTGAAATATGTTGTTTTCACTATATTCTTAGTCTAATTATCAATTAAATCGAATCTTTTTCAGGAGAGGTCTTGATCTCTGTCTCTGACTTCACATTATATTCCCTAGCGTATTTCTTTTACTATATCTTCGTAGAATATATAAACTAATGCAGTCCATCAAAGTTAACAATAATAACACGTATTGTATTTCTATACTTTCATCATTCATTTCACTATTCCTTTGAATCTATTTGAAATTAGGAAATGAGATAAGAGTATTTCATATATTGAAACCAAATGGATTCTTTTCATGACAAATATCGCATATATATATATGATTTTTCATTGTGCTACTTATAAGAAAAGAAAAGTAACTATATTTGTAATAACTCAAAATAATAATGGATTGTGCAGTATCAACAATAATATAATCAAATAAAGTGTCAGAACTGATATATATTATTTTCATTTTCACGATAATTATTATTAACCGTATTACTATCTATGCATATTGCTTCTTGTTTAATATGTGTTTATATTCTAGTAACACTAATAATGAATATTTCAATAATCCCAGATTATGGTATGAATAGTATAGCAAATCCAACTACATCAATGCTATATACTAATAAAGGAAGCCATAAAAGAACTGTAAATGTTTCTGTTCCTCACTCTGTCACTTCCAAAAACAATTTGACTATTCCAACAAAAAAGAATCAGCCATATGAATCAAAGTCTCTTCTATTCTTTTCACCTGATTTTCATGATGGCACAATGACAGATCTTGCCATTTCTCTGACTTCACATGGTCATTCAATCTATTTCTATAATAATAAGGGTGCTTTGCCTATTTATACTGGTTTACGCGAAGTAACTCTCAGTGAAGAGGAGTACTTACAATTGACTGGTACAAAGAATAAATCAAGAATCATTTTTGCTTCTCCAGAATTATGCAAAACATCAAAACTATTTGAATATAATATGAAGTCTGTTGAACGCCTCTGGTGGACATTTCATAACGATACTCTGTTTAAACGTGCTGATGCTATCATTTGTATGTTCTATCCATCGGAATGTCAAAACTATTTAGCATTTAACAAAACAGTTATATTCATGCCTGCTCACCGTTTTCTCATCAAACGATGTTCTTCAAATGATTCGAATAGCCTTATAAAATGGATGTTCAATAAACCTAAAGCTCCTATTATTGTAATGGCTGCAGGAAAGTATGATGCAGAATACATCAACTATTATTCTGGAAAGAATGTGGACTACATAATTGCGTCTACAGTACTCATGTATTCCCCGCCTAGATATTATTCACCGAAATACAATGAATATTTGTATGCTCCTTTTAAAAAAAATCCATTTTTTCAACAGTATAGCACACAAATACCTGAGGCTTGTAACTCATCTAATTTTGAGTGTCCTGTTGTCCATATTCGAGATAGAATAAAGAGAAGGTATACATATTCTGATATCAATTCATTTAAGGCAGTGATTGTATTTCCATATGCTGTTCTATCCTATTATCTCGCAGATTTGATTACTGCTGCAATTCCAATGTTTGTGCCTTCACCATCATTTATCGTTCAAAATAAGATTAGTTTCGATACGAAAGTTGGAGATTATTTCTATTGTAGAAAGAGATTTCAGGAACCTCCTCGACATCCTAATTCAAAACACTTGTATTCACCTGAGGATTATTCAAAAGAGGCCACTGAATATTGGCTTCAATATGCTTCCTATTATACTCCATGCTCAATCATTTTCAACAATATCTCGCACTTAGTTGAGTTAATGAAAACAACAAATTATTCTCATGTGTATGAATGCAATTTGAAGTATCGCCAGCATATTATCAATCACAACAAAAAGCAATGGAATAAGTTGTTTCGAAAAATACAAGTAAATAGAGTAATGCCCACTAGTTGGAATGAATCGTTGAACTGGTTTGGAGAAACAAGTTTTTACTAAAGTGGATATATAAATATTACAATATATAGTATTTTTGTGAAAGAATTTAAGGGGAGAAAATTTGATATTAATCGTTATTAATTATTCTGTACACGTATCTTTTCCAATATATAATTGTTTGTTTTTCTACACTCATATCATTTTATTGCTTTCATTTATATTGAATATAAATAATAAATAGCCTTCATCATAATGAGTCACATAATAACAATTTATACAATAGAACCAGCGATTCTTGTAAGGCTATGATATTTAATTATGAATTTATTTTATTTGTATTCCTAAACTATTAATAATCAAACTTATTATCATGGATAACTCAATACTAAGCTATTAGAATTTTAAAAGTGAAAAATAGCATATTATATTAATCACTTAACTCTAATATACTCAATATTTGTCCACGTGTTTTGGATCCATTTTTCTCAAAACTCTATATTTCTCTATCAATACTTGGCAATATATTTTTTTCATCAATTATTACAAAACTAATTTATAGTTATCCACCTCTTTTAAGTACTTGAAAGCTAATCGACTGCATGCTCAAACACTATTGCTCGAACATAGACCTTTCTCCAAACAGTTGCATATATATAGTTGTGACATATAAGAAGAGTAGTAGGGAATTGACGGGAAACATGCCAAAACCGATGGCCGCCTTTTTCGGTTATTTTTCGGCCATTGTCCGCCCGGCTACCTCGATGCCCACGCGTCACTCGCGCGCAAACCGATAGCTGCCATTTTCTACTCTGTTGTCTATGGTGAAGAAAGATCATGCACTACTCCATGCTCATACAAGGCTCACCCACCAACGGCTCATTCACTTGGATTAACCCCTACAAGTACAAGAATCCTCACATCACTTCCATGACTGTCCTGTTTCGACCCAAGGATGCCCAGGCTATGTTCAACAACGTGGACACGACGAATGTGATTACTAACAGTAATGACGAGAAGGTAACGATCCCTGCTGGTTATTACACGATCAGTGAGATCATTGCCTTGCTCAATACCATGACCGATACTACATTCTCCATATCCACGAATGCCTCGTCGTTCGGCTGTATCTGGATTCAGTCTCCACACACCATTGACTTCACGGATGCACCTGACATTCGTGAGATCCTCGGCTTCGATGGACGAACGGTCATTCTACCTGCTTCGTTCAGTGGATCGAATGTGATTGATTTCACGCGAAATCGACAAGTGATCCAGGTTTACTCGACGTTCGTGCGATCATCGGACCTGAAGATTGCCAACCAGAACAACAACCTGCTCACCACGATGATCATTGACGATCCAACGGCTGATTATGTGCGAACTGTGGAAGACGTGTGCATTCCAATGATCACTCGGTTTGATCAATTGATGTTCGTCTTCCGCGATATGGATGGCAAGATGATGCGACTGAACGGCGAATTCGAACTCCAGTTGACGATTGATGACGTGTATGATGAAGTGCCTTCATCGATTACCTCTGCAAACCAGTTCTCACATGATCGAATGTGTTCGGCAATACCACCAAGAAGGAAGTGAAGCTGGACAATCCTCTCTCGTTCGACCAGTGCTACATCTCGTCTGTGTCGTTGTATACGGACTTCGTGTTGCACAACGTGCCGACTGACCAAGTGGTGCTAATCAATGCTGGCAGTACGATTCAAGAGATCGCGATACCACGCGGTGCATACGACATCGAAACGATCATTGCAAAGCTGAATGCAAGTGATGCCCTGTTCGAATTGGTGTATAGCGGTGAGAATGCGTTCCACATCACGGTAGATCACTTCTACATGATCGATTTCACGAATGCACCAGAGATCAGGTCGATCCTCGGATTCGAATCGGACATCTTGGTGAAAGGAGTGGATAACCCGAAGCGCTACTACTTGTCGTCCTCATGTAATCACGTGGTTGTTACTGATGGCAGGGAATCGCACATGTTGACATTGCCTGTCGGTTACTACACGTTCAGCGAGTTCATCGAGGCTGTCGGTGCTGAAATGGTGAAAGTGCTTCCACTCACATCCATGACGATCGAGGATGATCATGTTCGCTTCAATGTCCAAGCAGACGGATGGTATTTCGATCGATCCAGTGTTGACACGACGATCGATGGTTTTGGTTGGACTCCATGGTTCAAATTGGAATCAACGGTACGCAATCTGTGCATCGAACGACCAGTGGAAGCTTCGTTCAACCCTGAAAGCGATTCACCACCTGATATGACGAATGATCAAGGTATTGGTGGTCATGCGTACATAGGATCAAACACCTTCATTGCGTATGACTGGAAAATGCGTACGACTGATAATCGGTTCCTGCTAAAGCCTCTCGCGACATACACGATGCGTTTAGCTGATGGTTCAGTACTCGATAGTGGTGAATTCTACATAACGGACGATACGTCTACCCCGATCAAGATGAATACTCTTACAACCACATGTTTTAATGAACTCAATGCTCGATATGCGAGTGCTATGGAACTACCTCCATCTCACCAGAATGCGATTGCGTGGACGGTGAATGACAATAGAGAAAGCATGTCATGGACTGCGAAGGACTATGCACCAGAATTGGAATTGCATATCACATCGGAAAATACAGGTGACTTGGTATCATCGAATGGTTCCTCGATTGGACCTTGGTATTCCAAGGATAGTATATATCACACGAGAGTGTTTATCGATACGACGAATTTTATACTTGGAATACGTGGATATGGCGAAAGACCTCTCACAATCCAACGAGGTCATTATAGCGCTGTTGATATCGTGAATATGATCGCTAATGTGATCAATAAGATATATGTAGATGCGTCTCTCGGAAGGTACTTGGTATATGTCATTGCAGATAATGGTGGTCGAGTACGAATGGGATGTCGAAATGGTACAGAACCACGATTCATATTGTTTTGTGATAATCCATGTTTCAAGATTATACCCGGACCATACGCTGAACCAGGTGGTGTGTATTTGTCTTGTTATTTCGAGTTTTATCGCAATTACTACATCAGGATGCCCGAGTTGACGTCACCTTACGAGTTTGCGATGGTAAACATCGATGGTCTGAATGTGACGAATATGATCAAAGGTAGTACGTATTCCGATCGTGCTGTGTCGATCGAATTCATACAACCAACACGTGTTACGTATTTGAGGAATGATGAAGTTGTTGTTCCATCATTGGTTACCTTCGTTGACTGGGATCAATCTGAGTCGTATACGGCTAACACGACGATTCGCTTCCCGTACGGAATGATGACACTGGACGAAGAGGGAAGCAGTGCTTCCCCCGAGACTGATATCACGTACACGGATGACGCTCAGACATTCACGTGGACCATACCATCACGGTTGACACAGGCTGACATGATATGGCACATGAATCAATGTTTTGACTCGGCTGCACTGAACATACGATGGAAAGCTGAGACAGATGGGTACTACATTCACGCAGACCACGTGTTCTCGTTGAATGGCAACCTTGGCACGATCATTCCCGTTTCAGGATCGCAATCGCATACATGGCGTATCCCTTTCGACGATGGTGTGTACTATGCCAACTATGGCCCAATGGTTGCCGAGTATCCTGTCGATATCACGAACGGTCTATCGAACATACAGCTGTATTGCAATATCGTGAAAAGCAAGACGATACCACTGCTTGCGAATGTCCCGATGGACAGCTTGTACAAGAACTACTTCTACAAGAATCGCATGTTGCTACCATGTTCTGAATTGCTTGATCGCATCGTGTACGAATTGAAGGACGAAAATGGTGACCCGCTATCGTTCATTGGTAACGTGTATCTGCTAATCGGATTCACCGTTTCAGGAGGAAATAATAAATGAATCTAGTGTTCAACATTGCTCGAACGTACGAACATGAATTTACAAGTAACAATCTCATCAAAAGCGACATGGTAATCGACAGAGTGACTATGAAGGGAGAATCGCCTGGCACCTGCCTTGTCCTTGATCGAGTGAACAACATGCAAGAACGACGACAGTCTCCGTTGGTTGTATTGAACGAGGAGTTTACGGAAAATGCGCACATGAACGTCGTGGTACCCAAAAGTCGCAAATGGTCATTCTCGTTGACCGATAAGACCGGTGCAACGATTGCCCTGCCAATGCCGATTACAGTGTGCATTCACTTCCATGTTCTCCAAAGTAAATGAGTCATAATCGTGCACTACCGGTGAGTGTGATTAACCACAATACAGTAATTCCGAAAAACAACGAACGATACCATGAAACGTTCAACACAGTGATCATGCCTCGTGACCTTGTGTACAAGATCACTTCGATTACATGCAAGATCGATACGACGTCTCTATGGAACATTCGTGCAATGAATGTGGTGAAGGTTCAAATGCTGTCAGGGTTTGAAATGGTGTACAACGTCGGTCCTGGCTACTACTCGATTACCGAGTTATGCCGTGTGATAGCCGATTCCATCCAGGTAGACGATGTTAACCGAGCACACTTGAACAGTGATGTGGCGACCGCTGTTGACCTTAGTGGCGCGCCTGATTACACGAGTATCCTGAAGCTGGAAGGCTTCCTAACACCTACTACCGTCGCGAGTGAACCCTACGACATCACGAACGGCATGAGCGTGATCCGAGTCTACAGTAGTATCAATGCTCAAACATTCGGTCTGAAGAGTCCGCTGATCGATAACCTGATTCATGTATCGATGGGACTGAACAACATGATCACCTGGGACAACCTATCGATCGATGTGATTGAACAATCGAACCTGGATTCCATTGATTGGGTACTGACAGATGCGAATGACCGTCCGATCTCCTTGAATTCGAATGTGTACATCTCATTCACGATATCTTGTTACACCCCTAAGTAAAGAATTTATGAATACGTTGCTACAATTCCAATCATTCGATTCAAACCACACAAAGTGAAATCGAGAAACATGATGGACAAAATGTTGAATCGATATTTCGATAAAGTCGTTGAAAGTGAATTCAATCAACA